TGGTGGTGATGTTTTAAAGTCACTGAGAAACTGCATGCATGCAGTTTGTTGTTTAGCTGCTAATACAGTAGCAGGTGCAGCTGCTAATACAGTAGCAGGTGCAGCTGCATATTTTTGCAATAAAAATGTTATGTTGTAATGGAATTCATGCATTAGTTTTTGTTTGCTTTGAACTCAGAGCAGACGTCACATGCCAGATGACATCAACACTGCATACTTTAGTATTTGTTCATTTATCGTGATTAATATCGATATCGCAATATTAAGCACTGTTATCGAATATCGCAGGTTTTCCTAATATTGTGCAGCCCTATAATATATGATATATTGTAATATATTGTATTGTGTCCCCTGTAAAATCATTAGACAGCATGGGGTAAACTTCCAGTGTTATGCTGACGATACTCAGTTATATTTATCCATTAACCCTGATGAACCTAATCGGTTAGTTAGATTACAGGCTTGTCTTGAAGACATAAAAAATTGGATGACTCTAAACTTTTTGCTTTTAAATCAAGACAAGACTGACGTTCTCATCTTTGGACCCTAAATTCAGAAAAGGAAATTGCTTAGTCAATCACTGGCAATGAATGGCATTAAATTAGTCTCAGAGAACAAAGTAAGGAACCTTTGTGTTATCTTTGACCAGGACATGTCATTCAAATCCCACGTTAAACAGGTTTGTAGGATTTCCTTTTTCCACCTTCGGAACATTGCTAAGATTAGAGACATCCTTTCCAGGAGTGATGCTGAAAACTATTTCATGCATTTATTACATCAAGACTGGGTTACTGTAATTCATTCCTCCCAGGAAGTCCACAGAATGTAGTTAAAAGTCTTCAGCTTGTCCAAAATGCTGCAGCTAGAGTTCTGATGAGAACTAAAAAGAGAGATCATATCTCTCCTGCCTTAGCTACCCTTACAATGGCTGCCTGTTAAATTCAGAATAGATTTTAAGATCCTCCTTCTCACATATAAAGCTCTTAATAATCAAGCTCCATCATACATCAGTGATCTGATTGTTCCATATGTTCCTAACCGAGCACTTCGCTCTCAGACTGCAGGTCTACTGGTGGTTCCCAGAATATCTAAAAATAGGATGGGATGCAGATCTTTAAGTTATCAGGCTCCTTTCTTATGGAAACAACTCCCAGCTTTAGTCCATGAGGCAGACGCCTTGTCTACTTTTAAGACTATAGGCTTAAATCATTTTTGTTTGATAGGGCCTATGGTTAAAATCTGGTGTTAGCCTAGATCTGGATAAGTGGGGGAGAAGAGGGAGGTGGAGTGTACAGTCGGTAAAGACGGCTCTCCCTTGCCCCGCCTCCAACATGCCTCCATCTAAAAGGCTGGGTTATCTCTGTAGTTATGCTGCTATAGGCTTAGACTGCTGGAGGACACACTGACCACTTATCACACTCTACTACTTTCTTCTACAATCTGCTCTTTAACTGTATTATTTCCTGCAATTTCAGCTGTTAACTTTATATTTTTCTCTAAATGTTTTTCTCACCAGAAGAAGCTAAAATGGTGTTCAATGTTGTTCTGCTGAGCTGTGGTGCCCTCATGGAGGGGGCCATCGTCTTGAACACTGTTGCTAACCTCTTAAACATTCTCCCTCTCCTGATAAAAACATTTTACTTTCCTTGACGTTGGATGTGCTACTACTAGTTTACCTGTTTAATTATAGATTCACTAGGATAAATACAATAAAGTTTATGTCTCACCAAATAGAATATTTACTAGGAAATCACAATGTAACCATAGACACATTACTTGGTATATATGGTGTGTGTGTGTGTGTGTGCTCTTGTCTTCTCCATCCCCAGTGAGTCGTGGAGGATGGCTGCTTATACTGAGCCAGGATCCTCTGGAGGTTTCTTCCTGTTAAAAGGGAGTTTTCCTCTCCACTGTCACTAAATGCTTGCTTAGTATGAGGATTGCATCATCAAGTCACTGACACTAGTCAGTGACTTAATACAATTTGCTGGGTTCCTCATATAGGAAACTTTTTTTCTGATTGGCTTAATGAACTGACCTGTATTGGAATGTTCATTATGTGAAGTGCCTTGAGACGACTCTTGTCGTCATTTGGCGCTATGTAAATAAAATTGAATTGTGATGATGATACATTTGCGATTTATTGTGCAGCCCTATACTGCATGGCTCTGAAGTTCGGTATGGATTAATGCCGCGCCATAAAACATGCTGCATCTGCTTTGTTTGTGGGATTCCTTTAATTTTATCATAGAGCCATGTCTGTCGATCTGCTGCCGTCTTCTATTCTCGTGTAAGATGAGAAGACATTCTGCATTGGCAGCCATTCAGCTGTCACCAGGATCTATCATAACAAATCTATGATAGACAACTCGACACAAGACTTTGTTGTTTATTGAGTGCTGAAAATGTTTGGAAGGAAATTATACTTCAGATGATCTCCCCTTCCTTATAATTTGATATTTGAATTTACTTGGTGCCTGTCTGCCTTTTATTCTCTGCATAAAACGAGTCTATAAAAATGCCAGTGGTATATGCATAGATCTTTTTAGTGCGACAGGCCCAGACATTTCTGTTGATGTTAGGATCACAAGTGACTTTGCACCTACTTTTGTTATCAAAGTTACAGCACAAGTGTAATTAGTGTCTCCATACTCTGAGCTCACTTGTCACCACCACGCTGAAACTGAGGCAGTTTGTCAAATCACTTAGGGTGGCACGCATTGACCCGA